CCCTAGATCCCTTTCTGCCATACTCCTTCCTAGACAGTCTCTTCCCATTCTGTATGTGTGAAACTGATTTTTTTTTCCTAAGTGGAGCACTTTGCATTTGTCTTTGTTAAACTTCATCCTGTTTAACTCAGACCATTTCTCCCATTTGTCCAGATCATTTTGAATTATGACCCTGTCCTCCAAAGCAGTTGCAATCCCTCCCAGTTTGGTATCATCCGCAAACTTAATAAGCGTACTTTCTATGCCAATATCTAAGTCGTTAATGAAGATATTGAACCGAGTCGGTCCCAAAACAGACCCCTGCAGAACCCCACTCGTTATGCCTTTCCAGCAGGATTGGGAACCATTAATAACAACTCTCTGAGTACGGTTATCCAGCCAGTTATGCACCCACCTTATAGCAGCCCCATCTAAATTGTATTTGCCTAGTTTATCGATAAGAATATCATGCAAGACCGTATCAAATGCCTTACTAAAGTCTAGGTATACCACATCCACAGCTTCTCCCTTATCCACAAGACTTTATATCTTCCTTTGTACGGGACTCTGCAAACCCAGATGGGTCCTGAATTACATGTCACTTGATACTCAAAAATTCAGGTATATTTAGTGGTTTAGAGTATTGCCACCCCCAAATGTTCATAGATGAGTCAAGCCCTGTGAAATTATGACATAGCTTTAAAAATTGTGAAATTAAAAAAAAAAAGCTGGGTTCTTTTTATTTGCCTTTTGGGTTTTGGCCCCTGATGGTGCATTTAAGTCACATTTTCAAGCTTTTCTCTCCAATTCTGAGGGCTAGAAACTTACTTTGTTTTAATAAAATGAAAAGTGAGATTCTCACGTATTCTCTTGTCTTTCAGAAACTGGGGCTTTAAGTAAAACGTCAAATATTGTAAGACTCACAACAGAATTGCGAGAGTTGGCAAGACTGGGTTTATTTTAAATACTTCTATCCATTTAGGTTTTTAGAATGTTGCCCAGCACTAAGAATTAAACACAGAAATATGTGTCTTCCAGTCCTGCTGACAGACATAATCTTACTTATTTAAAGCAAAAAGACTCCAAGCAGCGTTGATAGATGCTTTTGGCAATAGGTTTTCATTAATAAATTTATATGGTCATGTCATGGGATGACTGGGCATTTAAGAGGGATTGAGGTCCAGCTCTTATCTGTGCCATGTTTCCTCCTAGAGTGTGTGACTGTAGACCAGTGGTTCTCAAAGCCTGTCCACCGCTTGTTCAGGGAAAGCCCCTGGCGGGCCAGGCCAGTTTGTTTACCTGCCGCGTCCGCAGGTTTGGCCGATCGCGGCTCCCAGCGGCACGGGCCAAGGGACCCACTGGCTGCCGCTTCCCGCAGCCCCCATTGGCCTGGAGCGGCGAACCACGGCCAGCGGGAGCCGTGATCGGCAGAACCTGTGGACGCGGCAGGTAAACAAACTGGCCCGGCCCGCCAGGGCTTTCCCTGAACAAGCGGCAGACCGGCTTTGAGAACCACTACTGTAGACTGCAAGGCCTGCTGGGAAAGGGGAAGGAGTCTATAAAAGGCCTACCCCACTCCTGGAATGGGGTCTGGTGAAAAGGAGGACTTGGGTGTTGTGCCACTGGAAGACCTCCTGGAAAAAAGCAGCAGTTGTGAAGTGTCTTCAGACATGGGTCTTGGGAGGGGTAAAGACTGCTGTGATCCCTTACAAATGAGAGGAAGGATCTGTGACCACTTGTAACATAGCTTTTGTCTAGAGTAGAATTAAAGGCGTAATAATGGCATGTGTTAGCTAATGTTTTTAAAAGGCTAGTCTAGCCGCCTTTAATACCTGCTAAACTGATTGAGTTAAAAGTCTAGGCTCCCCTTAGGCTTTAATGTGACTAGTTAAGCATGTGTTAAAGGCATGTGCTTTGTCTACATTAGATTTTTAACATGTGTTTGTTAGCATATGTTAGCTAATGCAGTAACATCACCCTTTAAATGATAGTCTAGACCAGCGATTCTCAAATTTTAGCAACCTGAGGATCCCCATTTTTATTTAAAAATTTTCAGGGACCCCCAAACCCCCCACTCAGCCTGTGCCCCGCCGCCTTCCCTGCCCCTTCCCAGAGGCCACACCCCTTCACCGCCCCTTCTCCGAGGCCCTGCCCCTGCTCACTCCATCTCCCCTCCCTCCATCGCTCACTCTCCCCCACCCTCGCTCACTTTTACCAGGCTGGGGCAGAGGG